CTATGGCGTGACGAACGCAAGTTGGTTTCTTGGCTGGACCAGCTTGTATCGTTCAAATCAAATCAACTGCCGTAGCCGCGCAGTACTTAGTTTTCGACCGCGAAACTGAGGTTCGGTAACACAACACCCAAGAGCAGAAGCCTTAGCCTTCCCATGCGACTCCGACTCAACCTACTTTGACTGCTACGTCCTTCTTACGGAGTCAAAGAAAGAGGCTACTTATGAAACGCTCGCGACTTTCACACGCCGATGTCCGAGTTGTTGGTGTTCTCAATCACGTCGAAGGCAGCCTCAGCGGCCGCCAGGTCAGCATCCCCCCCGTTGAACCGTGGCGGCAGACATGTCCTGATATCCTTGGCGGCAATCATGGGAATGTCCTTGAACGCGGGGATACGCTTGTAGTTGACNATGTGCAACAACTTTGCGCCACCGGGAAAAAAAGTCAAACTGAAACTTCTTGCAGTTCGCATCCCTACTTTGACCTGTGACCGCGGTGAACTCAGATCCTTCCGGCCCTCCCTCCCGCTTGAAGCTCAAAATTAAAATTATTAAAAACACTTTCATATAAACTGCAAGGAAGCTCACCTCTTCTGCCGTCCGGTACAGCGCCTGGACGCATGGACATCAATAAATTTCATCCCAGAAGTCTTGCACGTCCACAGGTCGACCCCGTAGTGAACNTCGATCCTTCCGGCCCTCCCTCCCGCTTGAAGCTCAAAATTAAAATTATTAAAAACACTTTCATATAAACTGCAAGGAAGCTCACCTCTTCTGCCGTCCGGTACAGCGCCTGGACGCATGGACATCAATAAATTTCATCCCAGAAGTCTTGCACGTCCACAGGTCGACCCCGTAGTGAACGATGGGCAGAGGTGCCTTCTTGATCTCTTCCGACATGTTCCCCATCACAGCCTGCAGGCCGAGGAGAACCGAACGACGCAAGGCAACAAATGATGTCGGTTAGTCTCTCAAAAGACCTGAACGAGCGTTCGGGAAAACAAAGACCAATACAAACTATTTGCTGTCCTTTTCGGCAAGGGTGGTGTTTTTATGTTTTTATATTGATGTGTGCAGATAACCGTGTCCTAAAACCCGGAAAAATCCCTGTCACTTGAGCTTGTAGGATTAATATAACAATAGGAAAAAAGTGCGTAAAAACGTGTGTTTCTAATGTTTTTTTTTTGCGGGCGAACACTCACGTTGCAATCTCGAGTAGAAAACCACATGATGAAGGATAATGTCTGTTGCATGTACCTTGTATTCCTCTCACGTTTGACGAATTGTATGCCAAAAAACATCGCTGACCTTGGTGGCGACGAACATCTCCACCAGGAGGTGCTTGATGCGCCTGCTAGGAAGCGCCGGATACGGTGTGTCATCGGCGGTCTCCAAGCCCATCACATCCTTTCACGAGTTCGCAGATAAGAAGGAGAAGGGGAGGAACTTGTCGACGACCATTTTCGCGCACAAAGCTCGCGAACTCTGAAAAACAAGGACCAAAAAAAAAGAAAAAATCGCAGCACCATCATCACGCAACAAACGCAGGAGGTAAGGGATGCGAGAAGGGCGTGAGTAACCAAAAAGGCAAAAAAGACGCGCAGGCAACAGCAGTACATGTATATAGCACCCAGCAGGTGCTCAACCCCCTCATGCACACAACACACTCACACACAAACACACGAAGACTAGTCTCACCTGTGAAGAAAAAAAAAAAAAGACCCACCTGTTCTTTCCGAGGCTCGAGTTGGCCCTCGCGACCAACGCCGACCTGATGGTTCCTTGCCCCTCGTTCCTGGTGGCGTCCTTCTTCGCTCCTTCGGTCCCCTGCATGCTGTGCTTTCTCTTGAGGTGCGTGTTGACGTTGCTGCGGTCTCCCCGTGGACACGGAATCTCCTTCCTACCCCTCCGACACTCTGCGCTAGCCAGGCAGTAGTACTTGTGTTTGGCGCCTGCGCTCTGCTCCACGTGCACTCCGAGCGAGTACATGAACGAGTCGACGCGGAAGCCCTTTCTCACGAAATCGGTCGGCACGGTGAAAGCATCCACCGCGGCAGCGATATCGTCAGCCACCTCCGCTACCACTC